TATCTGCATTTTTAAATTGTATTTTATTATTTTAATGAACATTTACAGAGATTTTGGATTTCCATTCATTCATTGTTGTACTTTTCTCCCTGCCCAGCCCTAACCCCCAGTTCACTCCTCTCTTTGAAAAATAAAATTCTTTCATTGGTATACAATCTCCCCGCCACCCCCCACCCCAAGTACACTCCACTATGCAACTTTAATTGACTCTTATGGAAATCCTAAATTCTTAAGAGCAGCATTTAAGAACACTCTGTTTTTAATTTACTTTTTTCCAATCAAAATATCCATTACAGACATATAGTTCTACTGTTATTGTTATGTATGCTTTGAAAATGTGTATTTTAAATCTGACACATGTATTTCCTACTTGCTTAGATGTGATTTTTTTCACAAGCAACACTAGATGAATCAGAAAACTGCAACCAAATGAATCAAGCTGCTTAGAAACACAGAGCTGGAAAGGGAGGAAAGGGGGAGGAAAATTAGTCAATGGATTAGCTACATCTCTAGATGGGTGAAGGAAAAGGCAATATAAAATAAGGGATGATCAGCACTATTATCAGAGAAAGAGAAGACAGAGCTGTGCACAAGATACAGTCAGCAAAGGTGAACACTACTACACATAGTCCTGCATTATTAGTAATAAAAACTTTAACCTACAAGAGGACAGACAGGCAGACAGGCAAGATTAACAGAGAGCCAGGTGAAAGGGACTACAATCACATTAGCATACACTGGAACTATAGCCAAGTACAGAACAAACAGGAGGCAAAATGACAGAAGCTTCTTAATCAAACACCTTGATGAAATGAGTCGTTGGTATAAGAACCATAGTCTCTGAAGGTTTCACAGTAAATTGCATACCACAGCCAATTAGTGTTAAATGACAAAGTTCTACATACTACTCTGGGGAGTAAAAACTGGACTTTTAAAAGCTTTTGAGAAATCATCTACAGTACAAATAATGGTGTCTCCACGTCCAGAATAAAGAAAAAGGAGGAAAGGCAAATCAGCATAGAAATAATGAATCCAAATTTATTTTGTCCAAACAATGGTTCATTAGAACCTCAACCTCCATTATCTCAGACCAGATGAACTAGATGTACCTGATTACTACAGTAAAAAGGATCACAAGAGGTGGTCTTGGATGGAATGGTTAAAAAAAAAGAGGAACAAAACTCAAAAACAAAGAAATGGGCAAGCTGATAGAGAACAATGGAAATCCTGAGACCACAGCCCTTTGTCACACTACAAACCTGGAACAAAACTCACCATTACAGCTCGACTTTCACCTAACCAACAGTCTTATAAGGTGAACAGTAACACCAGTGAGGTAGTCACTCCTTAGAAAAGTTTACTTCTAAGGTTAAAAGGGAAGTATTTGCTCAAGGACAAGGCTGAGTGGAAAGAAAGAAGATAGGATAATGGAAAGGAAACCACAGGCATGAAGCAGGAAAAGTGCAGTGACACTGGTTACTGTACTTAATGATATAAAACAAAATGCGAATAGACTATTGAATGAAAGCCATCTGCTCTGTAAAGTTTTGCTCAAATCTCAATTAAAAAAAGGCAGTGGTGGGGAGTGCGAGGAAGACTTGACACACCTCAACACCTGTCAGGTATCCCTACTCACTAGATGTGTTATAAGCTATAACTACCTGTTGTTGTTATGTGCTGTCGAGTCATTTGCGACTCATAGTGACCCTATGTACAACAGCCCTAAACCCTGCTCTATCCTGTGCCAATCGCACTGCCTCTGACACACCCCTCCCAATTACCCCAGTCACTGAATCAATCCACCTCATAGAGGGTCTTCCCCTCTTGCGTCTACCTAGTGACAAAATATTCTGATTTAAGTTTGATAACTGTCCTTCTATTACTTCATAATAATTTATAACTTGCAGCTTTTTGATGCCCACTTCCATATGAAAACTTCTGGTAGTTTTCAAGGTAAAGTACTGTATTTCTTATACTATTTATACATATCTTAATCATTTAACATGCGTATAAATACCATTTTTACTAAGCTTTTATCTTTCATGCATCACTGAAGAACTCTGTGCCCTTAAATTCCATTTTCCTCAGAAGCCTTATGAGTTTTTGGTACAACATGATTTTTAGGAATACCTACAGTATAACCTGTATTTGTTTGTATTCACTCTCTGATCCAGCTTGGAAGAACTACATTCCATTGAGTTTCTCAATGTAGGCACTGTTTTACCATCACCATACCTGGAGTTCCTTTCTCTTCGCACGCCCAACAATCCAAATTCTATTAGTTTTCAAAAGGCCAATTAAATTCTTCCCAGGAAGCCAGTTTTAGTATGATTTTTTTTCTCTCTGAACTCATTTGTATTTTCAGAGTTTAATTCTTATTAGTATCTGAATAATTCTTAATAGTTAAGCATATTCACCCCAAATTCATTTGAACTTCCTTGAAAACAGGAACTTAATGCTACTCTGTTGAACACTTCATAGTGTATTAATAGGCTTTTCATTAGAATAAAAATCAGGTTCAAAAATATCTTACATCTTCTGCCATTCTCCAACAACTTATTTTCCAAATACATCTATATGGATTCCCTTCAACAGGCTCTAATTCCATTCCTATAAAATAGGAAAATAAAAAAAAATTGGGAGTTTAAATTGAAATCTCCTTATCTCAAACATTTCTAAAATGAAAAGCTGTAATTCCTAAATAGTGGCATTTACAGTTGGATACCTTTATTTCCATTTGCGAAATAAAATCAAAACAACTACCTCCATTAATGTTAGGGTCATGGTACAGCTTCCAGCCTTCAAGTGATGCAGCTCGCCATGCCTGACCACAACGCTTACAGAGCCGCTGTGCCTTTTGAAATAAGAAACAGTGATGAGTCAAACAGGCAGTGTATTACTGAAAAGGGGCATGTATCTTCTAGAATTTTAAACTTAAACACATGTGACAGGATTTTTAGAAAATTTATGGCAAAAGTGTTAGAAAGGATCATCACATCGGTATCTGTTACTGAAATTCTACTCTGCCATGATACAGATATCTTGATTTCTACCTTCTGCCTGTCTTAATTTTAAACGAATACATTTCACTGACAGAGTGACCATAGGAATGGGCTCAAGTATGTCAGAGACAATAAGATTTTCTAATAATTAGAAGTTGGCATAAACAAGAGTGAGTTTATGTTTCTTCTTACTGAATTGTTCAGAGAGAAATACTGTGAAAGAGATTCCTGTACTGAAAAGGCATTTTCACAAAGAACCTTTCCAAGTTAAAGATTTTTTTGAAACCAGATAAGCAGGGTACACATAACTTACCTCATCTATCATTCCAGCACGAATCAGAGTGAAAATATATTTGAGCAATCTGGCTTCATCTTCTCTATCCAGATCATCAAGAGGCATTTTCTGTCTTATAGGAGCATCAGGATCCTATTTTAAAAAACACACAAAATAACTGGTCAAAAAAGCAGTAAGCAAAACAGCACCAACTACAAATTTACTACAGCTATATATAATTCTGTTTGTTTCCTAGCAGTACATGGTACCCTCAATACTCTTCTCCAGCACCACAGCTCAAAGGCATCAATTCTCCTTCTATCCTCCTTAGTCCTTGTCCAACTCTCTGATGCATAACAAGTGATAGTAAAGACCATGGCCTGTATCAGACGCACCTTAGTCTCCAAAGAGACACCATTGCTCTTCAGTACTTTGGAGAGGTCCCTAACAGCAGACTTTCCCATGGCAATACGTCTTCTAATTTCCTGGCTGCTGGTGCCGAGAGTGTTGACTGTGGAGCCAAGCAAACTAAAGCTGTGAACAATCTCAATCTCTTCACCATCCATCCTGATGCTGCCAATTGGTCCAGTGGTGATAATCTTTGTCTTTTTGACATTGAGCCTCAATCCATATTGGAGGCTGCAGTCCTTGACCCTCTGCACCAAGCACTTCAGGTCCTCCTCAGTTTCAGCAAGCTGGGTTGTATCTGCATATTGCAGACTGCTGATAGATCTTCCACCAATCTTGACCCCACATTTCTCCTCATAAAGCCCAGCCTCCCGGATAACCTGTTCTGCATACAGGTTAAAAAATTATGGAGACAGGACACATCCCTGGCGTACGCCCTTCCCAATTTTGAACCACACAGTGTTTCCTGCTAGGAAAACAAACAGGTTCATCCTGGAAAGGGTCAAACCGGGCTGCTCCTTGGAGGCAAGGATTCTAAAGCTCCGTCTAACATACTTTGGACATGTTGTGAGGAGAGACCGGTCCTTGGAGAAGGACATCATGCTTGGGAAGGTGGAGGGACAGCACAGAAGGGGAAGGCCCCCTAGGAGGTGGATTGATTCAGCGACTGGGGTAATCGGGATGGGTGTGCTGGAGATGGTGCGTTTGGCACAGGACAGAGCAGAGTTTAGGGATGTTGTACCTAGGGTCGCTATGAGTCACAAGCGACTCGATGGCACATAACAACAACAACAATATATAATTCTAGCATCATTTATCCTGGGTTTAGACACTGAAACATACTCAATTATACCTTAGTTAAGGAACAAAGGGAGTGAAAGTGTCACAAGTGCTCCACAGAACCACACGAGTCTGCTCTACAGGATCTATTTGGGCACATACATAGGTAATGAGAGGGGAAAACTTCATTAGCTGAACATAATAAAAAAACTCTTGAATACTTATTCAAGATGAGTTGAGCTTTCTTCTGTAAGCTACACAGCCAAATTAAATCGAAACAAAATTAAGAGTTAATTTTTTTGCAATTAGTGTGTCAGTTTTGTTTCACCTACACACATTATACTGCTCACACAGAAGTGCAAGGTTTGCAAGTCAGTACAGTGGGTGTCATTTGCATAAAAAAATGGTAGATGGAGGAAGAACAAAGAGGAGAAACAGAGGATCTCTCAATATATTCAATGACCAGAATGAGCTCAGTGGGTACATTCTGGAATAAGAAGAAAATCTTTTAAGGATATTCTATGGAATCAATGCTATATAAACTGCATCAATTTTCAGTAAAAAAAGAAACACCAAATTTTAAATAGAATTCTAATAAAAAGTTGCTTAGCACACCACTGCTCCAAAATTAAAAGTTATTTCTACCTTCACAAATAATTTAAAAAAATATGTGTTTTTTTAAGTATGTGAGATTAAATACTATTCCTAAAGATCTAGGCAAGTTTAATATCAAATAACAATCTATATGTATGATCTACATGATAAACATCCAAAGAAAAACTTAAGTGACTTAAGAAAAAAATGTATTCATTTAACGAGAGTTATAGTTCCTATAATTCATATTCTAGAATAGCCTTTCTAATCTCAGGTTATTTAATAAGGCTTCATTTTTTTAAGTGTTTTCTACCTAAAAGAGTTTTCATAGATTACTAAGCTAGAGTTGAAGAGCTCAAATTTTGCTCCAAGTCCAAAATTACTTTTTAATGCTGGAAAATCAGGTATAATTCTCACACTACTTTTTATCACTTGTAATATTTGAATATGTTGTTGTTGTTTTGTGCTGTCAAGTTGTTTTGTGCCGTTGAGTTGCCTGGGACTCATAGCAACCCTATGTACAACAGCCCTAAACCCTGCTCTATACTGTGCCAACCTCACTGTCTCCGACACACCTACTCCCACTATTCCAATCACTGAATTGATCCATCTCATCGAGGGTCTTCCTCTCCTGTGCTGTCCCTCCCACTCTCTCAAACATGATGTCCCTCGCCCAGGATTGGTCCCTCATTGTAACATGCCCTAAGTATGTCAGATGAAGCTTCAGAATCCTTGACTCCAAGGAGCAGCCTGGTCTCACCCTAGGACGAACCTGTTTGACCTAGCAGTCCATGGTATATTCAACACTCTTCTCCAGCATGACAACTCAAAAGGCATTAATTCTCCTATCATCCCTAGTTATTGTCCAGCTTTCCAATTCATAGCAGGTAATTGCAAAGACCACGGCCTGGATCAGGTGCACCACAGCTATTATAGCTATCTGAATATACAAATCTTAAAAAAAACACCCCAAAACATTCCATCCAATTCAAATGCAATATAATTGCTTCTGAGTTAACGTCTAACCAAGTCTCTGGATTTAATGAAGCAAAATTTTTAGCCTTAAAAAAAGCTATGTAGTTTTGAAGACAACTTTTATTTCAGCAACACTTACCAATTCAGTGACAAGCGGACGTGTAGTTCCAATGTAAGGAGTTAGCTTCCGTTGTTTTAAGGCATGCAGAGTATTTTCCCTTAAAAGTAAAAGCAAGTTACAAGTGTAGAAAAAAAGAAAATTTTATAGACATTTAGCAAAAATACAGCTGTGGTTGCTGGTTAAGAAGTTATACTGCTGATTCAAATCCACCAGCTGCTCCATGGGACAAAGACAAGCATCTCCTGTTGTGAAAGTTACAGCCTCTCAAATGCCCCTGAAGTCAGCTGTAAGCTGATTCTGATGTAAAGGTACATAATACAATAATTTAAAAACGTATAAAACCAAGTCATAGTAATATAGATCAGAAACTAAAAGAACCCTATAAAACTCAACATAAAAGGGAATTTTAAGTTTTTCTTTTTTTTAAAGTTATACTTTACTCACAACATTTTATTATTGCTTGAAACAGAAAGTGAAATTAACAGCTTCATGGCAACTATCTAAATTCTACTGTTAACTATTGATTATGGTGATGCAGTGGCGATCATGCTTATCTGCAAACTGAAATGATTGTCAGTTCAAACCCACCAACCACTCTGTGGGAGGGAGATGTAACTGTGTGGGGCCGTCCTCTAGGTCACTATGCAACATAATCTACTTGTCTGCAACAGGTCTGGTCTTTTTACATTATCATTGTAGCCTTAGTGGCAATTGATTAAGCAATGGGCTGTTAACGGAAATGTTAGTGGTTCTAATCTACCAGCTGCTCCACTGCATCCACAAAGATTTACAGCCTTGGAAACTCTAAAGGGCACTTACTTCTACTCTGTCAAACAGGATGACTGTACATCAGAATTGGCTTGACAGCCAGGGGAGTGTTTTTAAAATATATTAAATAATTTTTTTTTTTATGAATTGCCAAGAAATTTCAGTATAACTCACTGCTGTTGTTCTGTACTGTAGTCAGAACCGACCCATTGCTGGGCCTCTGGCGGGTTTTCAGAAGCAGTTAATAGCATGGGAGGAGATTGCCTGTCCTTAACCTTCTCTTGCAGACCAGCTGATGGCCTCGAACCATGTACCTTCAGGACTGCAGCGTGTCTTCTTGCCACTAGGCCATCCAACTCACAGCAACCTTACATCAGGTTCCCAAGGTTTAAGCCTTTAAGGAAAGACACTGGCCATCTTTGAAATGCTGATTTTTTGGTTAGTAGTTTGATATGGTATCCACTATGCTACCAGGACACCTTCAGTATGGTATTATGGTTTTGATATAAAATTTACATAAAATATGTACAAATATTAAATGGACAGTCACTGCCTGGTAAGAGCATATTCCTATTTAACTCAAGCTCCTGACAAGATAGAGAACATTACAATTACAGCAGAAAATTCCTTCCTATCTCTTCCCAGTCAACCTCTTTTAAATTCTTCATTCATGCAAGACAGTTTCAAAGATCATTTATGATGTTGTAACTAGAAATGAGAGAGCTCTGATCATGTAGCCCATCGGGAGCTTTATACTAAACCAAAGGCTGTTATCTCTCTGGTGATTCAAATCCACCAGGAGCTTTTGAGGGAGAAGGATGTGTGATCACCTCCCATGCAATTGACAACACTGGAAACCCAATGGACAATCAGTTACAAGTAGGTTCCAGCTCACTGCAGTGAGGTACAGAAAGAATCCATTCCTTTTTATTGTTGAGTAGCATTTCATTTTATACATATATTCCAGTCAGCTTTTCCATTTCCTTATTGCTGGACAGCTGGGTCATTTCCTAGTTTTTAATTATTATAAAGTCGACTATCACTATTCTTGCATAAGTCCTTTATGGAAATACACGGTTTCCTTTGTCTTGAGTATATACATTTAATAAAACTTCTGGGGAAAAGTTTATGTGTCTGACTAGCTTATAAGAAACTCTCAGACTTTTGCAAATGGTAAAAAAATTTTACATTTCTTCTACCAATTTATGAGTATACTAGTCATTAATCTTGCCAACTACTGGTATCAGGTTTTTTTTTTTAAAATTTTTAGCTACCTTGGCATGCACAGTGGTTTTAATTAGGATGTTATCAGATTGAGGAGAACCTGAAGCACTTGCTGCAGAAGGTCAAGGACTGCAGCCTTCAATATGGACTGAGGCTCAATATCAAGAAAACAAAGATTCTCACCACTGGGTCAGTTGGCAGCAGCATGACAGATGGTGAAGTGATTGAGATTGCTAACAGCTTTGGTTTGCTTGGCTCCACAATTAACACTCTTGGCACCAGCAGCCAGGAAATTAACATGTTGCTGTATACTTTTAAATTGACGACTGTGCTTAGAAACACTTTTTGCCGTCATTTGTGGCAACGTGTTAAAAGACGTATTGAAATGAGAAAGTCTGCTGTTAGGGAGCTCTCCAAAGTACTGAAGAGCAATGATATCACTTTGGAGACTAAGGTGTGCCTGATACGGGCCATGGTCTTTACAATCACTTGCTATGTGTCAGAGAGCTGGACAATGACTAGGAATAATAAAAGGAGGATGCCTTTGAGCTATGGTGCTGGAGAAGAGTATTGAATATACCATAGACTGCTAAGAGAATGAACAGTTTCGTTTTACAGAGGGTTAAACCAGGCTACTCCCTGGAGGCAAGGATTCTGAAGCTTTGTCTCACATACTTTGGATATATTGCAAGAAGGGACCAGCCCTTGGAGAGGGACAGATAGGAGAGGAAGACTCTCAATGAGAGGAACTTGATGGCACATAACAACCAACAACATCATCAGATGATTAATGATCTGATCACTTTTTCATTAGCCATTTATTTATCTGCTTTTGGAAAGTGTCTACTTAAATCCTTTGCCCTTTTCATTGGGATTATCTTTTATTATTTCTTTCTGTTCCTTTATGAATCCTGGATAAAAGTTATTTATCATACATGTTTTGTGATTTTTATCAGTCCATGGTTTGGCTCTGTTCATTTTAATGGTGTCTTCTAATGAGTAAATTTTGACAGAATCATATAATTTATTAGTGGTGATAATGGCTTTCTATCATCAATTTGTTTGTTCAGAACAGCTATTCACCCTTTCTACAAAGACGGAGTCAAAGTGAAGACGGAAGTTCCTCCCTCTCACAAAAACTGAAGCCAAAGCAAAGGTGTTAAAAGCCAAGACGGCAATCCTGAAGGGCATCCACAGCCACATAAAAAAGAAGATCCACATGTCCCGCATCTTCCGGCAGCCTAAGACAATGAGACTCCAAAGGCAGCCCATATATTCCCAAAAAAGCGGCCCCAGGAGAAACAAGCTTGACCACTATGCCATCAAGTTTCCCCTGACCACTGAGTCAGACATGAAGGAAACAGAAGATAACAACACCCTTGTGTTCACTGTGGATGTCAAGGCTAATAGCACCAAATCAAACAAGCTATAAAGAAGCTCTATGACACTGATATAGCTAAAATAAACACTTTGATTAAGCCTGACATTCGACTATGATGCTTTGGATGTTGCCAACAGAAATGGGATCATCTAAACAGAGTCCAGTTTGTTTATTCTAAATACAAATTTTTGTCACTAGTAAAACACCAAAACCAACACAACCCACAAAAAAGACCACCCCCCCCGAAAAAAGGTAAAAGAACAACTATTCAAGACTTAATTTTTATTTTATTATTTTTGTGTGAGTGTACCATCAAATCAGATCTAACTGGTACAGGAGGAGACTGTCCCTCCTTCCCCGGCAGAGCAACTGGTGGATTCAAACCGCGCACCTCTGGGATTATAGTTGCAGCTCCTTGCCACTGGGCCACCAGAGCTCCCCTAAAATTTAATTTTTAATAAACAGAGTAGCATTAAAGAGAAAAGGTGCTCTTTACAATGTTATTGAAATAAAAGGTCATCTGTACTTTAAAAAAAAATTGTGGAAGAAATTATCCCTAGGGTGCTTCTTAGCATCAAGGTCCCATAATTGCTTAGACATATTTAAGGGGGGGAAAAGGTTTAAAATCACAAGTAGCTGAAGAAATGACAAATGTGTTTTCCTGATGATCAAACTATGATTATATTAAGAATTACCCCCCAAATTCTTATTGTGACTTGCCTAAAAAAAGGCCCTTTATGGATTTTTCCAATCTTTTTCCTATCATGCTTTTCAGGTTCACACTGGCTTACTTGCACGCATAGCACCTTCTCTGGGTCTTTGCCATTTTGAGTTCCTGCCCAGAACACTTCCCCCATATTTGTACATGGTCTCTCTCTTTATTTCTCAAGAGTCTTCAACTGTCACTTCCTCAGAAAGGCCTCCTCTGACCACATGTTTTAATTTAAAACCGTGTACCACCTATTATCACCTTCTATCACTCAAATGATTCTTACCATCCCCTCAAAATTTTTACTACCCAAAAGGAAATATAATTATTCTAAGAATTATTCCAATATAATCAGTCTAATTCTTTAACTGATTCCAAGAATCAATCTTTAGTGACTTACCAATACACTGATTTAGCATAAAACTCGATATTATCGGAAAAATCTCCAATCTCATCTTTGGCAATGCTTTCTAACCAATCAACCACCAGCTAGGAAAGAAAAAAAAAATTTCTAATTTTAGAAATAGCAAATAACAATTTAAAAAGGATTCTCTTTTTTTATAACTTGTTGTTTGCCACCAAGTCAGAACCAACCCACAGCTGACTTTCTAGTGGGTTTTCAGAGGCAGTAAATCACATGGGAAGAGACTGCCCATCCTTCTCCAGTGAAGCATCTAGTGGATTCACATTATAGGCCTTTGGGATTGAAGTGCAGCTTTTTATCACTAGGCCACCAGAGCTGCCTTATTAAGTAATAATTTAAAAATATTATTTTAATCTTTTTAAATAAATAAATACTATGGTAAGAGAATCAACTTTTGTGGGAAGCACACAGTTTTTACTTTATTTAATTTTGAAAAAGGTCTAATTTAAAAGGAAAAAACTGTTTTAAAATTAAAAATAAAAAACCCAACTCAGTTCTATATATGTATCATTCACCTTTGTATCCACATTTTGCAAAAAGGAATTAATTCACTTCATACCTGACTTTGTCGGACAAGTGAATCTCTCTGAAACAATGCTTCCACAACTGTCTTTTCACTGGCATTAAGAGGCTATTTAAGAAAAAATAAATTTTTTCAAAGGAAGGAAGAAAAATTACTCCAAGAGTATCATGTCAATAAGAAGGGGTAAGAAAATCTGAAATTATCATATTTAATCACCCACATATAAATATTTTACTACATGGCAGACATCTATATTCATCTCTGAAAATTATCAATTTCAAAATACCAGATCAATCTGCAGCAATTCCGACTCGGTATTATAAATCTTGGCATAAGCTTTCAGCTTTCACTTCCCTAAAGATGTTGTTTTAAGGGAAAAATGAAACATAACAGCAATGGGATGTTACATTATTAAATAGATAAAATGAAAATTTAAAAACTTTAAACAGTATTTTCATTCTCCACAGAGAAGTGAAGCCATAAAACCTAGTAACAATATAAAGCTCTTAAAATAAAATTTATTTAAAAGACAATACATTTTGATCAAATGTATGAGTTGAATCAATCAGTTAATCTTATGAACATGAACATCTTGATAAATGCCAAAATGTCATCTGATAAAAATTATATTTATATGCTAGAAATGGAAGGTTCCTTGTTATGTGATTTATCTACCTGAAACCTAGAGCAAATAATATCCTTAACTATAAAATGCATTCCCTTTAAAGTTCAGAAGATGAATAAAAAATAATTCTTGATTTTATTCTACTTTACTTTGAAAGTTGTAGCTAAATAGAATAAAACCAGAAAAGAGCTAAGTAGTATAAAAGTATGGAAAAAGGGTCAAGGTCATGACTTGGAAAATTGAGGACTGCCAATTTAGAAAATCCGGGCTAATCAATGGACAACTAATAACACCAATAGGTGAGATCACTAAGGTGATTAAAAGATACATACACACACACACACACACACACACACACACACACACACACACACACACACACCCTATGTGTTCATCTATATAGACGTGTGTGTGAGTGTGTGTATAAGATAAAGTCTTCTGAGATGTGTTTACTAAGGAATATTCAAACAAGTATACAAAGATATATTACTTATATATATTCATTTGTGAGCAGCCAAGGAGGATTGAGAGCTTTGCAGAGCCGGAGGCACCATACTGGCATTCCCTGAGGTGCGAGCACATCAGACTTCCAACCACAGATCGTTTATCTACAAGGCTCAGGATTCCTTCTAGAGAAAATCCATCAACATGAACAGTTTTAATCTACCGAGGCTCCTGGACCTTGCCAACCAGAACCTGCTGCAAAATGAGGTCTGGCCCGTTGATGATCTGGAGGGGCTGCCCAATGAACTCTTCCCATCCTTTTTCATGGCTTCCCATTCCTTTTTCAAGGGGAGACATAGTCAGACACTAAAGGCAGTGATTCAGGCTTGGTCTTTCTCTTGCTTTCCCTTGGGAGCTCTGAAGGCTAAACATTCTTTGCAGAATATCTCAGAAAGTATTATGGGTCCATTTGATGTCTTTGATGCCTTCATAAATGGCTCCAGGAGATCAAAAGTAAAAGTGCTGGATTTTAGGGCGAATACTCATACAGCAGGAAGCAGGAGTGGCATCCACTTCCTAAACAACATGCCTCTGGAAACTCTATGAACTTTGGTAAATGACGATAGTTTTCTAAAGGCTTCAGGCCTTTTTTTCATAGGGGCGCTGAGTGTTCGACTGACAGCAATCAACAACAACAATTCATCACTGCAGTGCTTAATTAATTTTAAGACTTAATGGACTAAACAAAACACAATCAAGAATTGTGATAAAACAAAACACAATCAAGAAACAAAACTGGTTTCATCCTAAAAAATGAAAAATGAAACAGCCATTAAAAGAGGACTTAGAAAATATAAATACAATAAGAGGAAAAAAACCCCCAATTTATGCAAGGGACCTAATATACCGTGTTAATATCCTATCAAGCATTTAAAAATCCACAAACAGCAAAAGACAAACAGGATGACTGGAACCTCCTAAAAATTAAATCTCCTAAAAACTTAACCTTACACATGCATCAAAATATTTTATCATGATATTAAAAAAATACTAGGAGAAAGATTTTGGCAGCAATATTCTGGACCAGAGATTAATCTCTAAAATATGCTTAAAACTTTAACCACAACAAAATCCAATTAAAAAATGGACATAAGACAAATAGCCAATTCATTGAAAGCCTTTATGTGGTCAATTAAAAACATGAAGAAATGCTTGTGACTATCAGCCATCAAAAACAACAAGATACCATCTAACCTCAGTTTAACAGCAAATTTCAAACAGAAAACAATAAACACTAGTGAGAATGTGGAGAGTTTGGAACACTGTTGGTGGGACTGTAAAATGATACAACCAATGTACAAAATATTTCGTGCTTCCTTACAAATTTGAAACTAAAATACCATATGATCCTGAAATCCTATTACTAGGTGTATACCCTAGAGAATTAAGAGTCATGACATCAACTGATTTATATACATTCATGTTCATCACAACATTATTCACAACAGGAAAAGGATGAAAACAACGTAAGTGTTCCTCAAGAGATGAAGGGAGAGAGAAAATATAGTACACATACATAAGGGACTACTACACAATATTAGAGAATAATGATTACTATGTCAAACAACTTAAAACATAGATGAATTTATAGATGTTAATGCTGAGTAAATTAGTAATTTCCAAAAGGACAACTATCATATAAGATCACTACTATAAAAAAAGTCAAGAAAAGATTTACAAGCAGAAAGAAACATTCTTTGAAAATACAAGGGAGGTTGGAGGTTAGACACAGGGTAATCTCACCTGTCAGAGGTAGACGATTATTACTTTGGAAGGTAGACAGAGGGTACCCTCACCAATACCTTGGAAGAGAGATAGAGGGTACCCTCACCAATCAGAGGGAAGACAATTATTACCTTGAGGGGTGAAGAGAGCAGCAATATACAGATAAGTATTATTACATACCCTATCTTGAAATAATGGTGGTAATTATCATCATCATCTACAAATGGATATACTAACACTCAAGCTGACCCAGGACAGGAAGGTGAATGAGACTACATTTATATGATTAAGAGGGTATTAGACAGTCATGAATATTGTAGAGCATATATGGAGTACAAAGTTATGAAAATTTCTTAGTCATAAACAAGCACCTTGAGGGAATGGGTCAATAGGCTTGTGGGGTGGGGTTCAGAACTAGAGTAGAGTCTTGGGAGACATCAAAGTCAATGGCATAAAATAGTCCACAAAGATAATGGTCTACATTCTACTTTGATTAGAGGTGTGACTAAGGTCTTGGAAATAGTTGCCATCTAAGGTGCAACTATTGTTTTCACCCCACCAGAGTAAAGAAAATCACATACACAAGGAAAAAATTAGTACAAAGAATAATGTTATTGTTGTTGTTATGTGCCGTCGAGCCGCCTGCGACTCATAGCGACCCTATGTACAACAGCCCTAAACTCCGCTCTGTCCT